AGATAATTGGTTAATACAAAATACTTTAGTTTTTGAAATATAAGTAAGCTCCTATCAGTCACATTCATATATTCTGATGAAGTCATTAGTAATTAAAAAAAAGGTTTCAGAAATATTTGTTCCCAAAAGCTCAAGTCTCTTAATAAAAACTTTCATGATACTAAAAGATCAAGTGATAGGTATTGTGAATTGCGAACTTTCATCTCTTATTTAAGTTTCTTAAGTAGTAATAAAGCTTTAATAAAAAAAAGCTGAGATTTAAATACTTTTTTTAAGATATCTCAATTTAATATTCACTTAAATGAAAGATCAATTGGATTAACTTGTCTAATACTATAGATAGTGAAAAAAAAGATTTCTTCTAAGGTTCAGGTAAAGTAAAAAGACTATTTTAATCAGATAAATCCCTTTTGAGAAGAAATTGTTTTTATTTTTGAATTTTTTTAGTAAACCTAAAATTGTTACCTTCTTTCAATTATTTTCTTCTTTCTTTTTTTTAACTTAACAATTTATTGATTTTTGAACAATTAACAGTGACAAACTGTTGACAATAATTCTGGTAGATAAAGATTATTACTAATCTATTAGGGAAGTATAATATTGATTTTAAAATTTAATTTAGAATACTTACTGTATATATGAAGACAAGTTGGTTACTTTGTAAAAGTCTATAAATTATTATAGATTTACTTTAATTTTTTAATAAAAACAAGCCATTGTGGTATAATTGTAGATTAAAAAAAAATTTTTTTTTAATATTAATAAAACTTTAAAATGTAATAATAAAATTTTTTTTTAAAAAAATAAAAAAATAGAATAAATATTAATACATAATATATTGTTAAAGTTGAAATTTATAATAAAAACATAGTAAGTGGACTCAAACTTTTGAATCAACCATAAATACTACCTGGAAATACTGTAAGTATCACTTTTAAAAATATACTGTAATTTGGTATTAATATATTGTAGTTAACGCATCTATAATTCTGGCCGGAATTATAACAATTTAACCCAAAATGCCTATGAACTTATATTTCGGCCGGAATTATAAAAATTTGGTCCAAAAAAATGCGCTTACGCACTTGGAATTCGGGCCGAAATTCCAAAAATTTGGTTCAAAATGCATTATAATTCTGACCGGGATAATTGCCCGGAAATAAGCACCGTCCTGCTATAAAAAGTGGTGCTTATTCCCGGGAAATTATGGTATTTGATCAGAATAAAAATATGATAATGTAGGATAGGCTTACAGGCTTCGCTTCATGGAAAGATTTTTCACAGATACGAAGACTCATTCAGCAAAAATATCTTATGCCGGCCACAAACAGACATTTAAGAGATAGGCGCACGGAAAATTTATTAACATATATATAGTCAATCATGTAATTGCGCGCCTCAAACTTCCAAGTTAGGTTCTGTATAGTAGTTCGGAACCTGACTTTTTTGGCACGATTGATTGGAACACTAAACAACGATGTGATGCGGATAATTATGCATGCTAAAAAGGGAATATGTGTAATTTTAAGCGATCAGATTTTAGTTCGTGCAGTAAAATCTCCCGTGTAACCAAATCATTGGGAGTGCTATATGTACAGTATCTACTATTCATACAATTCAGAATTTAAAAAATATCTTGGAAGATATAGTTTCTTATAAATTTCATACACTGGGATCCTAATTTAGGAAGTTTTACTTTCTTTTGAGAACCTGACGAACCTGACAGATGATCGACAAAAGGGAATCTTGTTTGTTCGGGTTACGTTACGTGCGTAACGAACTCGTTGTCTAACCAAACAGGTATATAAATGTAGTCGTCTAAATACCACTTGTCAACTTTTTTTTTGATTTTAGGCTTGGATCAATTTGCTTTAATTCCAAAATTTTTCTTTTTACAAACAAACATATTTCCCCGTGGAATAACTGTAATTTCGTTTTCGCATTGGCGAATTATAATTGCTATTAGAATAAGTATTAAATTGATTCCGGACTCGTCATTCACATCTCGTGAGTGAATGTCAATTCGAGGTCCTTAGTGTCGATAATCTAATAACTAGAAAAATGTCGGGTATAGTGGTAGATGATCCGGCGATGCGAACCATTTCTTTAAGGGGAATGTTCATTCAGTTTGCTGTGAATATTTCCATCGGAATAGGGACGCTATTGGTTTTTGGGTTTCTGAGGCCAAGGAACGGACGTGAGTATTTTCTGAGCCTTTCGAATTTAGAAAGTATTGATTGCTCTTTGAAATAAATTGTTTATATTATCAATTATAACACCATCAATGTCAGATGTATATGCCCCCAAAAAAAAATACGAATCAGAAAGGTGAGACTCATTATTTTTTTAATGCACACCCATCCAAATGGTTGATCTAATATGCTGTATTTGTACATCCTTTCCATAAAGAAGTCAACTGCCCGAAATCGATAAAGGTTTATTCTCATGGATTCGACCATCACTATCCGTTCCCGAATCATTATTAATCGAAAGGATTGGATTAGATGCTGCAGTATTCTTGCGCTTTATAGTCATGTGCAGAAATATATTCTTTTGGTTATTTCTGCTGGGATTTATTGTGATCATACCAATTAATGTTTATGGAACAAAGCAAGATCAAGGAACATTTCCTGAAACTATGAATCCAATTGAATATCTTAGCATTACTTTCTTAAAGGCGGTAACTGTCGGAGCATATTAAAGCTTATGATTGTCAGTTCATCGCTGAAATCACACTTTTTATTCCTAATAGCAAAAATGGCTCGTGGCCCACACGATCTTCACATGGGTATTCTCTTTTATAGTTTACTATCACCTCTACAAACAATATCGGGAATTCGCCGAACTTAAGCAAGATTATTTTAAATCCACGAATTACCAAGACTCCTTGCATTCTCGAACTCTGATGGTTTTGAATATTCCTCCGGCCATAACATCCGAGCAAGAATTGGGTGATTTTATTGAATCGCTAAAATTAGACCACCCTATTTCACAAATGTGTATTGGACACAGGGTGGGCGACTTGCCGACTTTGGTGAAAGAACATGATCACGCTGTTAGAGAGTTGGAAAAGATACTGTGCAAGTACTTCAAAGGTAAAGTGTCACCCCACGTCTTATCTACAATAACATAATACTACAACGATGAGATTTATTTTATTTGTTATTTAGATCCTGACAACATCCCTCCAAACAGGCCGACCCACTCATCTGGCGGATGTCATGGATCGCGTGTAGATAGCATTGACTTTTATACTGAAAAAATCCGAAATCTCAAACTGCGAATATGCGAAGCGCGTGAACGTGCCATGAATAAGCCGTATAATTACGGGTTTGTCTCATTTCACAATGTTCCCAGTGCACACTCCGCGGCTAAGCATATTAGGCACCGTCTTGCGGCTCCAAAGTTGATACTAGCTCCATTACCCAAAGATATTGTTTGGAATAACTTGCCGTTGGTCGGGACTGCTAAAGGTGAGCATTCTTTCGGGTTTGTAAAAACGAAATTCATCGCGACTGATCTTGACTTAAAACACAGGAGCACGAAGGTTGATTGGCTATGCTATGTTCGTTGGCCTATGTCTTTGCTGGCTGGTTCCCATAACATTCTTGAGCATGACCACACAACTTACAAATTTTTCGAGGATGAGTACTGAAATGACCGATACAATGACAAAACATTGGGTTTTCGTTGCTCTTATGGAATCATGGATCACTCCGTTTCTCATGTCCGTATTCTTTGTAATATTACCCATCCTTCTACGGACACTCGCTCGATTTCAGGGCAAAATCACAGAATCCTCTTTAGAGCGATCCACACTGGCAAGGCTTTACCTATTCTTCCTCTTAAATAACGTGATAATTTTTACCGCCTTCACCACCATTTATGATATCGCCACGCAAATAAAAGCTATCATTGATAGTGGCGATACAGACGTTCGAGATTTCTTCAGCGTCCTCCAAAATTCAAATTTACTTGAGCGAATTATCGAATCAATAATCAGGGTGTCTACTTTCTGGATCAATTATATTTCATTGAGAGGTGCGGGAACTCTGATAGAATTGGCGCAATTTGCTGTATTATTGATCAAGAAGATCAAGATACTCCTTACCACTGAAACACCGAGAAATAAGAAAGAACTATCTCGCCCACCCGACTTTAAATATGCCGTCTACTATAATTTACATTTATTCATCTTTACGATTGTGATGTTGTACAGTGTGATTGCGCCAGTGATTCTGATATTTTGTTTGCTGTATTTCGAGTTGGCTTATTTAACCTATAAATATCAATTAATGTACGTATTTTATTTTATTTTTATTTTTATTTTTATTTTTTTGCCTGTTTGATCTCAAAAAAAAAAAGAAAGAAAAGAAGGTTCTTAATCCTTAATATTTTTATTTAGTTTTGTGTATACGACAAAAGCTGAAAGCGGTGGCACATTTTGGCGTGTACTATTTAACAGAATGATCATCTCCACCATCTTCTGGCAACTGGTGATGATCGGAGTTATAAACATGAAGGGTGCTCATTTTCAATCCATAGTCCTCATCCCATTGCCGGTGATGACCGTCTTCCTGAAAATCCTGTGCAGTCGTTCCTTCGATGCAAAGATACATTACTATACTCCCGACAGATCCTCCGACACAGAAGTACGAGTGAACGCGAATAAAGAAATGGAAGATCCTTATCATCAACGTGATAAGATATCGATTCGATTTGGACATCCAGCGTTAATGGGCGAACTTATAAAACCGATGTTAAGCTCTAGTCATAAAATATTTTTGGACAAGATTTATGATGGACGCATGGAAGATGTCGAGGGAGAAAAACATGGGAGACTAGTAAAATCAACAAAGATCACTGCCGGCACGAACGTGATTGAAATTGTGACGGTGGATGATTCGGATTTAAATATCAATGAGGAATATATGGAAGAATTGAAGCGGGGATATTATTATAATTACGAGGCCACACGCGAACCTCTGCGTGTTCAAGAGGAATGAAAATTCGTTCTCAACAACCTTCATCATAATATCAACATCGAAGGGAATAAATGATGTTTTCGATGCCTTCGTTCACCATATTTGGTAAACTTTGTTATATATAATGCACAGTAAGAAATTCTTTTAAATACAGTATAATTAAAAGTATTATTATATAAATGATATATGCATACGTATATACTGCATATATTTTAATGCTAGTTCAGCCATATTTAATTGTATTGAGATAATTAATTACAAGAGAAATCAATAGACTTTTCCAAAAGAAAAAAAAAAACAAATCTTGTGGCTTTTGCCACTCCAAAAATATATATGAATTTCAAAGGGTTAAAATATTTTCTGATATGTATAATTCAATTGTATTGAGAAATTTAAAGAAATCAAATTCCAATAAAGCTATTCTTATTTCATCAAGCTTAAAAATATTCTTTCGCACAAATTTATGGAACGAACAGAACCGTTTAAGAAAAACCACAAGCAACTTTGTGCACATGGATAATTATTTTTGATGACGACAAAAATGTTATAACCGATTTTTTGCTCTCTATTTTTTGAATAATAATAATAATACATATACAATATAAATTCTAGAAGTGCAATTCTAAAGTCAGAAAAAACACTGTCCACCTTCGAAAATAGATTACCCGTATATAATACTGTATACTCAATAATTTCTTATTATTTATACATATATTTTTTTAAAAAAAAATGTATATAATAAACGGTTATTAATAAACTATGTCCGAAGCAAAAATTCCTTTAGATACACTTCTCGGCATATGCCTCCAAGTGCTCCAGCACATATGGAAAAACGTCTTCTTTTGCCTTTTTCCCCACCATATATCCATACGTCCATATCCAGGTATCTCTCGCATCGTGCAATTTCCAGGACCGTTGGCACCGATCAAAGTTTGATAAGAAAGACGTGTGGCCTTTGTTGTTTAATGCAAGTTGGATGAAATAGGTATAGGAGAAAGAGTTACGTTATTCAAGTAAATCAATAAAATTTCTACTTACGACATTTTTATCTTCATGGGTCAGTAAAGCCGGGAAATTCATCTTTTTCTTTATGCTTTCTTTCCTAACATAGACAATAATATCCAAAATATTCCATCTTATTCATATGTTAGAGAGAGGCAATATTTACTATGCCAAAGAATTCATCTTGATGATCGTGTATTAGTTGATTCAAATGTTCGTGTCGATATAGTGTTCCGTAACAAAATGAGGCTCGATGACACAATGCCCCATTACATTATGTACTGTCCTTTGGGAACCGGGTATGGTCGAATCAGTTGATCAATGATCTTGTTTAGCGGATCAGTGGTGGTAAAATGGAAGAAGTCTCACATTATTTTTTATTTTGTTTCGAATCCCACGATTGTATTTAACGACTTAAAGGAAATAAGTAGTGCAAGCAATTTAGAAATGAGAAATGAATAATAATGCTAAGGCAAAGTAAATATCAAACATTGAGCTTACTACTTGAGAACTCCATAATCCCATTCACGTGGTAATTGATCCATAACAATCTGCGATCTTCTCGTATTTTTCAATTTCTCTATCGCCATTTTTAACATCTATTGATTCGTCGCATATATCTCTTGAAATCGCCGCTCCATGGACCTGAAGTCAGTGAGAGAATAGATTAGTGAACGTACATAAAAATCAACAATAGTGAAGGAAACACATACAAATAGCACTGGTCCTTTATTTCCACCTTGATATCTGTGCAGCATGATTCCGACACCCTCTTCATTTAAAAGCCATGACTGATGTTCGGGTCTTTGCCTGTAGAAATGCGGCGAAAATTTCTCTGGATACATCAATGATCCAAATCTCGAGAACGAGTGATCAAGCGTTTTGATACAAAATTATTCGTGAATTCTCCGATTTTTCTTGCTTCTTGTGCCTTTGATCACCGGTTGCCCTATCGAATTAAGAATTTTTAGCACAAATTTTGCAAGCGAATTCTAATTTACATATTTATGTAGAAACAAATGAGCCTACCCTCAACATTTTAAGCTCTTTAGAAAAATCTGACGGTTTTATGTGCAGTATCCCTCGTCCAATGGCAATTCTAGGTTCGCTCGCCTCCCCCTCTTCCACGTCCTTGTCGGCATCAACATATTCGAACTCGTCCTCGTTCTCCGAACAATCGTACACTGTCGCGTGCAAAGATGTCGTTTCATTATATATCGGTGGAGAGTAATTGATATTGTACGTCATATTACGTGAGGCAACCCGATCTTGTTCTCTAATGGACAGTCGAAGTTTTCCATTTACTATCAACAAGGGATCGGGTGATAATGCCCGGCACGTTACTGTACCAGTAATGCCGGCTCCATGATTATCCATGTCGAAAAGTGATGTACCGTCGTAAGTGATTATTGTCATTAAGAACTTCTTCATCCGCGAATCTGAAGATTCGGCTTGCACTATATTAAAAGAGAAATGAGTCCGTGTTGAACATCGAGCCACGATAAAAGAACCTTCGAACATGAAATAAGCTTACGCTCAGCGGTTTTATAATATGGAGAGGTAATCTCCGTGGAAAAATAATCTCTCATCTCTTCTGTAAGTGGTCTCCTCACGTCGCCCAAAATGATAAGGAGGCCATTGTCTTAACGGTTTCTTCCAACCGATCAGCTTCATTACTAGTTAATAATCAATCTCCCATCCTCGATGATTGACTGTAAGGTTCACGATTCTTTCGGCTAAGCAACTAATCGTTAGAAATGGAGTGCCGTTGGCACGATTGCCCCGTCGATATGTAGAGGCCTTCGTGTACATCCTTCTGTAAACCTTGATGCCATAACTGAGATAAAAAATAAACCACATTTGTATCAATCGTCATCTTCGATAATATCTCATTCGATTTTTTCTTGTCGTTGTGGCTCTACCTTCTCCTATGCTATCAATCTTCCAGCAGCAGTCTACTCGCATTATTATCATGTGACATTATTAGATAACACTGAGTGCGGGATAGGGCACTAGTGTGGTCTTTTTTTTATAGGTAAATTGTCCCATGGACAAATCAATATGTCTATTATCAGAGATACGGTCGCCAGCTCTTAATTTTTACTCACAAGCCAGCAACTGGTGCGGAAACTACTCCCTTTTCTATTACTTAACCATCGAGAACGTTTTTACGCATTTTTCTTATATTAATTATACCTGTGATGCAAGGGCTTACGGGTTCGAATTCCCCTCCCCGAACTCTGATCTCCCACAGAAAATGCTGTGTGGGCATTGTCGGATAACACAGTTAGCATATATTCACCTGACGATGTTTTTGAATTGATGCATGAATTTAATAAAACCTTAGTGAATAGTCAACTTTCTAGAGAAATCAAAATCGAGAAAGTAGAGTAATTTTATTTCTTTTCTCTCCTTGCTTCGAGAGTTTAGCCACAGGATATCTCAAATATGGAAAATTTATGACTTTTTTTGGTAGATAGTGCATTGTATGGGAATCCTAAAAAGTCAAGTAAGTATTATGAATTGTTCAACATTTTTAGTAATAAATAATTATTACCAAAATAGAAAGAGTTCCTACAGTATATGCACACCAAAAACCGGGTACGATATTCAATACTCTTGTAATAGTCAGGTGATCTCCCTATCATTTAAGATAAATAACCACACGTGGATTTTTGAGGAATTTAATATTCGTGTTTTTAAAACTAAAAATTGTCTAATAATACGAATAAGAGCATATTATATACACCTTATTCATTGTTCTCAGCGGATAATAAAAGTTTGAAAGCCAATTCGTTCTAATCCTTTAACCTAGTGAAGCAGAAATGGCAGACATATGCGATTATAAGTAAGGAACAATATACTGTACATACTGTAAATACTGTACATAACATATTATTTATTGTACAGTATATTAATATAAAGGAATGGACTATTTAAATAAAGTAAATTTAGCATCGAATGGGAATTTTTGAAAGTGCATGTCTTCTATCGCTTAAAATATTTTGTAATCGCTAAAACTACATTCTACATCTACACCAGAAATAGGCAACCATACTGTATATAAAGTAATGCAATTCGTGAATGACAAGGCAAATCTTTGTTTATTTTTCTTTCCAATATTCTTCTATGATAAAATAATTTTCGAATTATTAAATCACGAATAAATACTAATTTCCTTAAAAAGTAATAAGGCTGAATAATTATCTCTGTTTCGTAAACTTATTAAATGCTAATTGCGAAAATTGGTTTGAAGAGTATAAAACTTGAAAATTTTTCTTGAATTTTATTTCGCATAAATGGAGGACTATCAATACTTGCTTGTAATATTAAGAGTCTGATTAATTCATACCGTGTCGATTAATCTAATATAAATAAATAATTAATTAATATAAACCATGTAAACAAATAAATAATTAATAAATATGAAATATGTAAATAAATAAATAAATGATTTGTTTATTTATGTCTACCGTTGATTATTTAAAATAACAAATTTAATATTAATAAAGTTTTAATACTATCTTTAAAATAACTTGAACATATCTTCAATACTCTCTAATATTTTTTTGCAATTCTCTTTAGTTAAAAACTTAATTCAATAATCAAGAAAATTTAAGTAATAGTTTTATTGTTAATAGCAAAAGAAGTTTTAAAAAAATGAACTAATTATAAAATATTTAAAGATATATATATATAATAAAAACTCAAATTCTTACAATCTGATATCATCTGATATCATTAATTGAGTTATATAATAAAACTAATTGTGTTATACAATTCAATTAATTAAATCAAATTGAATCAATGACAAAATAATTTCAATTACACATATACCTTAAAGATTATTTTTATCTTTTAGATATACAGTATTATTATGGAGATTTATTACAATAAAAAATTAATTTATTGAATTTTAAATTTTAAAATAATATAATTAATATAATATAAAATATATTGATTTTTAGAATATAAACAAGTTTTTATTTATTACAATTCAATATTTTAATAATATTTTAAATAATAAAAATAAAAATTAATTAAAAAAATTTTTTTATCTAAACAAAAATAAATAAATAGAATATCAAAAAATAAGCAAAAATATTAAAATATTAAATTGATTTTTATTCTTTAACTAAGTTTCTTAATTATAAAAAGAATTTATTAAATAAAAAATAGAATTTCTGATTTTAATTCTAATTAAATAAAGTTTCTAAAAATTGATTTTTTTATAATTAACATTTTTATAATATGATACTTACTTAATAAAAATAATAATTAAATCTTTTTATTAATAAAAATAAGTTTATCAAATATTTATAAAAAATCTTATTTAATTCAAAAATAAATAATTAAGTTCCTTAAATACTATAATACATTTTTATTTAAAAAATTAAATTAAATTATTATTATTATATTTATATTTTTTTAATATACACAATTTAATGATTTATTATTTTTTTAAAATAGTTAATAACAATAAATTAATTTTCAAGAAAACAAAACTAAAATATTAATTTATTAAAAAAATAAAATACTATTTTTGAAATTTAATTTAAAATATTTAATTAAGAATTTTCTTTGTTTAAATCAAATTAATCCAATAAAATTTTTATATTTTTAATTAATATAATTTTTAAATAATAATATATACAGTTGCTTTCAAAAATTTGAGTCCACTTACTATGTTTTTATTATAAATTTCAACTTTGACAATTTTTAAATTCTTAAATATACAACTAAAAATTATAAAATTTATTATTATTTTTTTTTAACATGTTAACTTATTCCTGCATCAACATCAGGAATTTTATAAAATTTATATATTTTTTATTTTAATATTAGTTTTATTTATTATATTTTTTCTAAATTTTTTTTATATATAAATTTTAAAGTTTTATTATTATTAAAAAATTTCTTCCTTTATCAAATTTTTACTTTTTATAGATTTTGATTGGCTATTATTTTAAATAATATGATAAATAATAAAAAAATAAAGGTGCTTAAAAATAATAAAACTTTAAAATATATTAATAAAACATTTTTTAAAAAAATACAAGAAATAAAATAAGTATTAAAACATAATATATATAAATTTTATAATTTTTGACTATATAATTAAGAATTTAAATATTGTTAAAGTTAAAATTTATAATAAAAACATAGTAAATAAACTCAAACTTTTAGATGCAACTGTAAATATAAATTAGTTATTATAATAAAAAGATAATTTATCAATTTTAATTTTTTTTAAAAATTTATTTTTTAAATAAATTTTTTGAAAAAAAAAAATTAATTTAAAAATAATATAAATATACAAATCAAATTCAAGTAAATTGATTTACTATTTAAAAAAAATAAAAGTAATTTTAAAAATAACTTTTTATAATATTAAATTTATTTTTATAAAAGAAAAAAAATGTCTATACAAATTGATTTATATAAGTTTCACTAGTCGAAAAATATTTATTCGACATAATGCCACTTGTGTAACATTTTTCAAAAAAATAAATAATTCAGTATATTAATGACATAAATAAATTGTCAATCTATTTCTACTATATAATTCAGCAAATAATTTGATATAAATAAATCGTCAATCGATTTCTACTATATAATTCAGCATATAATTTAAATCATTAATCAATTTCTACTATATAATTCAGCATATAATTTAAATCATCAATCAATTTCTACTATATAATTCGATATTATTTGCTATATTTGTACCATTTCTACTATATAATTTGATATTATTTGCCATATTTGTACCATTTTTACTATATATTTCGTTAAATTTTTCCTCAAAAAATCATTAGACATTCATCAAAATTCACGCATTTGCTGAATTTTTAATTATATATTATATTTACGATTTAGAGGAATTACAGCTAAATATTTGCAAGAGTCTTATCGATTTGAGGTTCTGTATCTAAATGGAATAAATCGATCAAAAATATT